GAAAAGCAAAAAAAGATTGAGGAACAGCTAGCCAAAAACTCAAAAAACAATAAAAAATGTTTTTTTAAGTACATTAGAAACAGGAAGCCTCCTAAAAAACCAGTGGGTACCCTGGACAATCAAGATACAAAAGGAGCAATCAAGGATGATAAAGCCATTGTGGAGAAGCTAAATGATTTCTTTGAATCGGCCTTCACTGCTGAGGATGTTGGGGAGATTCCTAAATCTGCACTGTCCTTTGTGGGAGATGAATCTGAGGAACTGTCCTGGATTGAAGTGTCATTAGAGGAGGTTTTGGAACAAATAGAAAAACTTAACTTTAACAAATCACCGGGACCGGATGACATTCACCCAAGGGTTCTAAAAGAACTCAAATGGGAAATTGCAGAACTGTTAACTGTGGTTTGTAATCTATCCTTTAAATCGGCTTCCGTGGCTACTGAGTGGAAGATAGCTAATGTGACACCAATTTTTTAAAAGGATGTGACACCAATATTTAGAGATGATCCTGGCAATTACAGACTGGTAAGTCTAACATCGGTACCGGGCAAATTAGTCAAAACAATAGTTAAGAATAAAATTGTTAGGCACGTAGAAGAACATAATTTGTTGGGCAAAAGTCAACATGGTTTCTGTAAAGGGAAATCATGTCTTACTAAACTATTAGGCTACGTCTAAACTACATCCCTTTTTCGTAAAAGGGATGTAAATTAGACGTATCGCAATTGCTAATGAAGTGGGGATTTAAATCTCCCCCGCTTCATTAGCATAAAAATGGTTGCTGCTTTTTTTCGGCACAGAGCTTTACCAGAAAAAAGCACCAGTCTAGACTCTGATCTTGCGGAAAATAAAGCCTAGGGATAAGGGATCTTTCGGAAAAGGCTTTATTTTCCGCAAGATCAGCATCTAGACTGGCGCTTTTTTCCAACAAAGCTCCGTGCGGAAAAAAAGCCTTAGAGTTCTTTGAAGGTGTTAACAAACATGCAGACAAGGGGGATCCAGTAGATATAGTATACTTAGATTTTCAGAAAGCTTTTGACAAAGTCCCTCACCAAAGGCTCTTGTGTAAATTACATTGTCATGGGATAAGAGGTAAGGTCCTTTCATGGATTGAGAACTGGTTAAAAGACAGGAAACAAAGGATAGGAATAAATGGTAAATTTTCAGAATGGAGAGGGGTAACCTAGTAGTGTCTTCCAAGGGTCAGTCCTAGGACCAATCCTATTCAACTTATTCATAAATGATCTAGAAAAAGGGGCAAGCAGTAAGGTAGTAAAGTTTGAGGATGATAATAAATTGTTCAAGGTAGTCAAGACAGAAGCAGACTGAAAAACTTCAAAAATATCTCACAAAACTAAGTGATTGGGCAACAAAATGGCAAATGAAGTTTAATGTGGATAAGTGTAAAGTAATGCACGTTGGAAAAAATAACCCCAACTATACATATAGTATAATGGGGGCTAATTTGGCTACGAAAAAATCAGGAAAGAGATCTTAAGAGTTATCGTGGATAGTTCTCTGAAAACGTCCACACAGTGTGCTGCGGTGGTCAAGAAGGCAAATAGGATGTTAGGAATTATTAAGAAAGGGATAGAAAATAAGACACAGAATATCTTACTGCCCCTGTATAAAACTATGGTATGCCCACATCTTGAGTACTGTGTACAGATGTGGTCTCCTCACTTCAAAAAAGATATTTTGGCCTAGGAAAGGGTTCAGAAAAGGTCAACTAAAATGATTAGGGGTTTGGAACGGGTACCATATGAAGAGAGGCTAAAGCGACTGGGACTTTTCAGCTTGGAAAAGAGGACAGCGAGGGAGGATATGATAGAGGTATATAAAATCATGAGTGGTGTGGAGAGGGTGAATAAAGAAAAATTATTCATTAGTTCCCATAATACAAGGACTAGAAGACACCAAATGAAATTAATGGGTAGCAGGTTTTAAACTAATAAGCGAAAGTTCTTCTTCACACAGCGCATAGTCAACCTGTGGAACTCTTTGCCAGGTGAAGGCTAGAACCAGAACAGAGTTTAAAGAGAAGCTAGATAAATTCATGGAGGTTAGGTCCATACAAAGCTATTAGACAGGGGGTAGGAATGCTGTCCCTGGCCTCTGTTTGGAGATGGATGGCACGAGACAAATCGCTTGACCATTGTCTTTGGTCCACTCCCTCCAGGGCACCTGGCACTGGCCACTGTTGGCAGACAGGCTACTGGGCTAGAAGGACCTTTGGTCTGACCCAGCACAGCCATTCTTATGTTCTTACAAAGTCCCTTGTACCTGGAGATACTTGGCTCATGTTCTACGCTATGCAGTACGAGGGGTCTACAGCATATGCTACAACAGAGACATGAAATTACATTCTACATCTCTGACAGCAACTGCAACGCAAATAACATTATCATCCTTTTCAGGCATCACAGGGACAGAGGTTTCGAGCTGCCAGAATCATACCAACAAAGTATTGTAACTATAGGAATTTATACTCACAAAAGCCCACAAATTACATTAATTCTCTGTCTGCAGGAATAGCAATATCATCCTCCTTGATCAGCACCATACAGGATGACACACAGAAGGCACCTCACGAATGTTAGGCTCAAGCCTACTCTCACTGAAATCAATAGTAGCAGGCTTGCCTGCGCATTGGCATTGAAGGGAGACATACCATTGATATATAAACTGGGGTCCATAAACCAGCAGGCTCATAAATGTTCTCTTTCTCCTCAGACTTACAGTATGTGAGTTACCCAAGCACCATCTCACAACCATAATGAGCTGGCATTATAGGGAAATACCATTCTATAATACAGAGCTAATAAATTACAATACAGAGCTAAGTAAGCAGCCCCTGCATATTTTAGAAGTGATTCTTCCATAACAGAAGCAATAAGTTTTGGCCTTTTAAGCTAGGCAAACATCCAGGCCTATTTTACATAGAACAGATCAGATGTGCTGAAAAAATACATAAAAGAAACTGAAGATAATGAGAAGTAAATACACTGGAAAACAGAACACCACTGCTCAGCCCTTTCCATAGGAGGCACTTTCAATTACAATTGTTGCATACTGAAAGCCAAGTAGAAAAAAATGAAAAGGGGAGGAGGAGAAAGAAATAAAAACACCTATTGATTGAGGTAACTGCAAGGGTTTCTTTTATGGAGTTTGACAACTGCCACTTCCCAAAAGCTGAGACCAGGACTCTCTGGTCTTACGTTCTCTCTCTTTCTGGGGTGCAGCAGAGTGGCCTCCCTTTGGAGTGGAAAGTGAGGGAGCACCCCACTTGGTGGCCACAGGGATAGGGCAGGAAGTAGAAAAGGAAGGCTTTGCAGTTCTGTTGGGCTGGAGCCAGTGGAGAGGACAGACATCTCTGCCCTGCAGCAGCACCTGGGAGCTGAACCTGTGCCTGTACCCAGCCACACCTGGCACCTGGATATGGACCCAGAAGAGGGGTTGCTGTATGCCCTGGAGGCCAAGGATCAATGGACACTGGAGGTACTGAACCCTAGCGGTAGGAAGGGGACCAGGGATAACTGGCTAGCTACAGGGCAGAATATGTACATGCAGATGTGTTGTGGCTGGATTCCTGCCTACCCAATGGGAGACCATTCAGACACTGTTAGGGGCCTGGGCTGGGACACTGAAGAGGTCTGTCTCTCCTTCGGGGATGACCAACTCCCGTCCTTAGGCCATAAGATATGTGCCCTGCTAGAATGGTAGACTGCCTGCTGGCTGCTCAAGCTTTGTTGAAGCCCCCAACTGGGTGGCCACCTACCCCTACTTGAACCCCAAAATTTTGTGGTTTTGCTGCCTGAGTCCAGAAGCCCCCTGTTCCGTCCTTCCCAAAGGGCTTGAGTTTATTGACATATCTGCTGACTGCTGGGCCAGGAACCTTAGGCCACTTTCTGCTGCCAACCCAGCCCTGCCCAGGAGTTAATAGCCCTTAATTGTTAATTGCTGTCAGTCCTATGGAAGGGCTGCGAGCTGGAGACTACACCAGGTGCTGTTCCAGCAAGGGGCAGGGACAAGGATCCCAGGCTATTATGGTTTTTTGTGCCTCTGTCAAACGGGCCCAGAGCTGTAGAACAGTGTAATCCAAGGCTGAAGATTAAACCCCAGTACAACAAGGCAGTGTAGTCTTTCCCCCCACTGGAGAGCAAGGGACCACTATAGGCCCAAAGGTATTAATGTAACTAAAATGGGCTTTGGAGTAAAAGTTCACATAAGCTCTTAGCAACTTATTGACAAACTGACAGATTGATTTGTTTTCTTCTTTATATGCAGTATGTTATGGAGCACATATTAGCTCTCAAGTTCCTCTGTTACCTCTTCTGCGCTGCTGCTACTAGGAACCACGTGCTATTGCATGCAGTATGTGAATAGAAGCAGGCATTGTTCCTGTTAATGAATGCTAGTTTCCACACATTGCCTGAGGAGGAGCGAATAGGTCTGCCTGTGACTATACTGCTTGCAATGCTAAAAAGCCTTTCAGAGGAAATGTCTGAGGGAGAACAGCCTAGAAGCTCTTCAAATAAATGAAATATATCCATTGATAGATCCCATCCAAGGCCAGTATGCCACAGGGCAAGGCACAGGCAGACACAACAGTGACATTTGTCAACATTTCGTGAAGCGCTAACTACAGCTAAACCCTTGTGGTACTCCAGGGCAATGCTGGCAAGGCCAAACTCCTTCAGGCTCTCTCAGAGGGACTGTCCCCATATTAGAAGTGCCCCTCTCAGGCTTTGCTGCATTTCTCTCCACTTGAGATGCTGCTGCCACAAATATGGCTCAGGACCCTGCCAAAAGCACACTTGAAAGAGAAAGTAGGAATAAGAGAGCCTCCGCAAAAGGGCTTATTTTCCGGAGAATCACATCTAGACTGGTGCTTTTCTCCGGCTTATCCCCAAGACGGAAAAAAGCGGCAGCCATATTAATGCAAATACCGCGGGGGATATTTAAATCCCCCGCGGATTTTGCTGTTCCAAAGTGTCGAATCTGCATCCCTTTTCCGGAAAAGGGGTGCAGTGTGTAGACAGCCCTGGTCTTTACAAGGAGTTTCACAGGCTGAATATGCACTGTGTGAACAAAAACTTCCTTTTGTTTTTAAAGCTGCTAACTATTTCATTTGGTGACCCCTACTTCTTATATTACGGGAACAAGTAAATAACTTTTCCTTATTCACTTTTTCCATACCAGTCATAATTGTATAAACCTCTATTATGTTCCCCCTTAAGGTACGTCTAGACTACATGCCTCTGTCATCAGAGGCATGTAGATTAGGATACCAGACATAGGAAAATGAAGCGGCAATTTAAATAATCACCGCTTCATTTAAATTTACATGGCTGCCGCGCTGAGCCGACAAACAGCTGACCAGCTGTTTGTCGGCTCAGCGC